CCCCAGTAACACCCAGTGCTCCCCAGTAAACCCCAGTAACACCCAGTCCTTCCCAGTAACATCCAGTGATCACCAGTAACACTGAGTGCTCCCCAGTAACACCCAGTAACACCCAGTGCTCCCCAGGAACGCCCAGTGCTCCCCAACAACCCCCAGTAACACTCAGTTCTCCCAACAACCCCCAGTAACACCCAGTGCTCCCCAAAAATTGACCTAAAACTGACCCAAATCACCCCAAAAAAATGACCCAAAACTGACCCCAAATCCTGACCCAAGTCATCCCAAAAGCTGACCCAAAACTGACACAAATCATCCCAAAAATTGACCAAAAACCGACCCAAATCACCCCAAAAACTGACCCAAAACTGACCCAAATCATCCTAAAAACTGACCCAAAACTCTGCATTTATTTGGCATCATTTCGTCTCAAAAACAACATCTCCAATTTAGTTGATTGCTAAAGCCATCATTTTAAAATCATCTCAGGAATCAAAAGGGACTGGAAAACACACAGAAAATCATTATTAATTGGAACCCGATTCCCTCATCTCTGTCCTTGTTTTTCTTGGCTGGAAAACCTGATGATCCCCACTGGCTATTTTTAGGCTGGTTTTCTTCCACAGCTCCTTTCTCCTCGCTGAAACGTCCTGGCATACGTCAGTCACGGCGAACGCGCAGTGCGTCGCGTTAACCCCCAGGCGGCAGCAGCGATTCCCACTCGTTTTTTGGTGGTTTTTTTTTTTTTTTTTTGGTTTGGTGGTGGTTTTTTTGGTTTGCTTTTTGTTTTGTGGTGGTTTTTTTGTATTTTTATTCTGTTTTTTCTTTTAATTTATTTTTGATGTGTTTATTTTCTTTTCATTTTTCTTCAATTTTTTTAGGTTTTTTAATTATTTTTGCTCTGAGGTGGCCATGGCCCTCACATCCAGTGGGGAGGGGGGGGAAAATGGGAGGGGTGAGACCCCTTGGACCCCCAAAATTGGGGGGGTGGGCGTTATCGAGGTCCCCCTTGGCCTCCTCCCCGATTTTGGGGATCCCTACTTACTTTTTCGTAGAGAGTTCCTTGATGTTTTAGGGCCCCTCCCTGACATTTTTGGGGGTTCCCCCCATGTTTTGGGGTCCCCTCTCCCACTTTTGGGGGTCCCTACCCACTTTTGGGGTTCCCCCCTCCTACTTCTGAGGGTCCTCATCCACCTTTATTGGTCCCCACCTATTCTGGGGTCCCTCCCCAACGTTTTGTGGCTCCACCTCCAATTTTTTGGGTCCTTGTGGGTCTTCCCCCCACTTATGCAGGCCCTGCTCCAATTTTTGGGGTCTCCCACCCACTTTTTGGGGTCCTCCCCTCCCATTTTAAGGGTTTGGAGGAGGGGGAGGGAATAAACGGGGGCACCAAAAAGGGTTTTTTTCTCTTTTATTTCAATTTTAATTTCATTTCTTTTTTAGTTTTCTTGGGTTTGATTTTCTTCTTTTTTATTTTTTTCGTTTTATTTTCTTTTATATTTTATTTTTTCTTTTCACCAGAAATCTTGAGGGGGTACCAGCTTGTGTGTGTTTAAATTTGTGGACTCTGGAGTCTTTCCTCAGGCCACTCAGCTGCTTTGCAGTCTGAGCTAGCACCTCCACTGTGCAGGACTTGTGCCATTTAGGTGAGCACCAGCATATCCCACCCACCTTCCCCCTCTTGCTGTGGAACCAGAGGTGCCAACATGGGACCATGGCATGACAGAGAGGCTGTTCCTATGTAATTCACCATTGCACACAGACCAGAAAATAGGTTCAAAGTGTATGCAACATTTTATTGAAAAAATACCAATGTTCTGTACATAAAGTACAACGTAATGGGCTTAATAAAATCTCGAGAGACTTATTGGTTAATACAGGTCTTCTTTTCTTCTTCTCCCTCTAAGGGCATAAAGCACAAAATGAAGCAGCAGGTCCCCTGTACTTGTGCAAGTGCCATCCCATTGCTGTGCGTGCAGCATAGCACCTGTCTCTACACACAGGACTCTAACATGCTCAATGTACTTTGATGGATGGTCTGCAAGAAATTTAAAGCATGAAAGAACTGCCCAGGACTGGTCCTGCAATCCACTGATGATTCAGAATTTATTGTGAGATCTCTGTTCTTCTAAACAGTCTGCATCTGCATATCCAATATTTCTGACAAATAAATACAAAAATAAATAGGGATCTGGCCTCACAGAACCTGAAGTCTCAGAAGCAACACAACCTATAGTAAGCTACATACATAATTTCAACTATATCAACATAATTTATTTAAATCTCTATCAATAAGTGTATTAAAAGTATAAATTCTTATCCAATACTGAGAGTTTAATTCTGGAAATAAATCCAGAAAAAGAAAGCTTTTCAGTCCTCTCTTACAGTTTAGTGTGCTCTTAGAAAATGCTTTATTAGCTGAACTTCAGCAGAAAGTAGCTGCTATATAATGTACTTCTATTCCCCAATCCTAATAGAAAAAGCTTTTTAAATCTTTTTACAGTAACTGGCTTTTATGTCCTACCTTTACATACAGTTACTAAAAATACTGCACATAGCAGTGCTGACTAAAATTAGGTTTAGTGTTAAAACTACATGCACAAATGCTGGAGTCCCAAAGCAGAAACTGAATAATGTGGCAGCTTCACAATTAATTTATGTTGCTAATTGGATGGTGTAACAAATACTGCAATCCCAAAAGATATGTATGTTGCAAATGGAAAGACAATGAGTAGGACTGGATGAGGAGAAAGTTAGGCAAAAACCTTTTTTCTTCTCCATTTAAAACTGGAATGTCACCAAGAAGGTAAATGTAGACCAGTGTTAGAAGCTTCTCAATCAGGAGTAAATGGTGATGACTTCTCGGCCGCCGCCTCTAACCAGTAATACCCTCTCCAGACCCTCAGTCAAGACTTCTAGAAACTCCATGTCTGTTTCAGTAAGTCAAGGACAAAAGAAATATCAAAACCAAAATATGGTGATTAGCCTCTGTATTGGGTTTACGTGGCAATGCTTATGTGAGATGAGACCAGAGGCTGCCCCCACGTCAGACAGAGACAGTTGCATCCAGCTCCAAAACAAACCCACCACGGCCTAAAGCTGAGCCTGTCAGAGATGCTGGTGGCACCAGGTGACAGTCACACTCTCTCCCGTGAATACTGAGCAGTTTTCAGTCACAGTGGCTCAGCCTCTCTAGGGAGGGGTAGAGAAATATGCATTACCCATTACCTTGAGTTTAAAATCTCTCCTGAGCTGCGGCAGATGCGGTTCAAACCCCTTTATTCTAAGATAAATGTTTTTATCCTTTCTGGTGAAACAAGCTGTTACAGCTACTAGTACTATCTAGATTTAGGGGAAAACAACCATTTGGTATGTCATTTTTGACATCTTTTTTTTTGTCACACACTAAATTAATGGTACAAATCAAGGCTGAAGAGCAGCTGTGGACAGCAAACTGTGGCACCAACGATCTCTCTCCAGCTCACAATCCTCAGCTCTGATCTTGCTTAAGGGAATCATGTAAGTATTCCTGTAAAAACCAAAGTACTGTGACTTTGAATTTTTATCTTACCAGAGCCTTGTACTTGGACCTAAGCCCCAAACTCTGACGTGTGAGTATGCCTGAGATATTCCCTTCTCTTTCAGGACCTCCTTTTGACTCAAGTTCAGACACTGCTCTGCCCAGAGCACTGGCTGCTGTGAATG